GAGCTCCCAGTTTAAGACAGGTTTGGAAGCAGGAGTGGCATCCACTTCCTAAACAGCGTGACTCTGGAAACTGTACAAACTTTGATAAATGACGGTAGTTATAGAAAGGCTTCAGGTCTTTTGTTCATAGGGTCATTATGAGTAATGCTTGACTGGACGGCAATCAACAACAGCAACATATAGGTGGGTATCCTGGCTTGCCACTTAATGGTCATTTGGTAATATTCATCTGTCACCAGAGATCATCCAAGATAAAAGATATGATGAAACCCATGTTAAATTGTTCAGTACAGATTAATAAACCTGCATTTACTTTACTAGATAATCTGTCCCTGGTCATACGGTTAGAAGATTAAGTGAGATAATGAGTGTAAACAATCTAGTACAGTATGTGCCACATGCCAGCCATTATTTACTCAAATGTTTGGGGATTTTTTTGAGACCTTTCCATGTTCTTGGTGCTTCACAAGGAAAATATGTAAAGTGTGTTTGTGCACATATATATTAGACATATGTATTTTTACCTCTACTTTTCACACACACGAAAGAATTTCAATTGAGTATTTGAGTTGCTTTGCTTTCTAAATGCAACAATAGGGGCAAGGAGAAAGGTCTTGCTTATGTAGTAATAGAAACCACTTTGTTGTTGTTGTATACCATCTAGTCAGAACTGATCCATAGCTGACCCTCTAGTATTGGTTTTCAGAGGCAGTAAATTGCATGTGAAGAGACTGCCCTTCTCCTGTGGAGCAGCTGGTGGATTTGAACTACATACCTTTATATCAGCAGCGCAGTTCCTTACCACTAAGCCATCAGATCCTTATAAAACACCTTAGGAATTATGACACAATTAAAAATAGATTCCTGTCTAATTGGATCCTGACCGATTATCCCAGAGAAAGGACTATTATTCTAACACTGTAACATTTGGGGCTGTATATGGAAAATCAACCCATCAGTGTAGAAAGTAAAGCACTGATTAAAATACTCAAGTTGTTTTTTCCTTATGACATCTCTAGATGTAAAATTTATTTTCAGTTTTTACCCAGGAGCATGGTATACTTGGTAGGGTGAAGAGGGCTTAATGTTTTTAACTATGAAATCTCATTGAGTCTAGGAGCCCTTGATATTTCTCAGAATTTTGCAGGAGAGAAAGAATAGACATAGCTGGGAGTATCATAGGTGACAGACTTGGATAGAGAATCTGAAGAACTTTTTTTTTTATATTTTCTTCCTTGGAGTGACTGAAGTAAATGGAGAACGTAGGAAGAAATGGGGTTGTAGTGTGTTTGCTGCATCTCTCCCCTCCAGGCTACTGCAAATGGAAGCGGTACTGTAATGCACCCGGTCTTCCAGGTAGAATAGAGGTAGGACAATGTGTATAGGTTACATCTACTCATAGTGGGAAAGGCAGCTAATATGATCATTGGATGAAGGCAACAGTGAAGGGATTGGTTTGTTACAGGAGAAAAGGATGTATTAAATTTTCCCTAAAGAAAGTTATTCTTTGACATTCCAAGAACTATAAGGATATGTGAATGCCTTCCTCTCCCACACTCCTAACCTCTAAACTTAACTTCAAAGTTCTACTTTGATCTGCAAATATAAACAGGTTCAAGTTTATGGATACATTCACAGATGACACATCATTTATGGATCAGATGGTTCATATTTATCTCTAAACACTGAGAGCAATATAAAAAAAATAAACACTCACTTCCAGAAAATGTCTCATAAACTCTCAGATGCGTAATGTAATATGAAACATAATACTATGGTTTTAGTTAATTTTGCTATGGGAAAATTCTGGGAAAGCAAGGTGTAGTAGGTTTTGTGAATTTAGTGCAAAAAATGTCACGGTCTTAGTAGCTTCCATTTTTACTAATTCTTTACTGTCTTTTAGTCTTTTGCTCTTTAGCAATTACTAAATTGACAAGGGTAGTAGGCAAAATAGGTATAAAATGGAGACATCTGTTAGTGTCCATAGAGAAGCCACTTCAAATATTTATGGAGGTCAACCAGCTAATGCCAACTGTCTTTGCAAATATGGTGCAAAATGATGGTACCACTTGACGTCCATGTCCAGGAGATAGCACAGGGAACAGAAGTGAGCCTCTTCCCTGCTTAAAGATGAATCAGATACTTCTTTGCCATGTGGGACTGTGGGCAAGGACTGCCAGATCTTTCACATTGGCAAAAGCAGCTGGAAATCTGGGTTTTTTGCTGCTATCTCTGAACTGGGTTTATAATTAAGAAGTTAAAATTGTAAGTGTGAGTGAGCCAAACAAAATAGAATTGTGGGACATCTGTGGCCTGAGGGCAGCCAGTGTAGTTCCATGTAACAAGAAAAAAAAACTACCCCCAAAACAGCACCCCTCATTGTGGTGGTGTCAGAACTGGTCCTCCAGTGGGTTTTTAGGAGCTGTAAATTGCATGAGAAATTGCTCATTTTTTTCTCCTGAAGGGCAGCTGGTGGATTTGAATTGCCTACTCTGAAGATGACAGTGCAACTCCCTCTCTACAAGGCTCCACTAGGCCACCAGAGCTCCAGTCACTTGCTGCTTATATTTGAGTCAGAACCAACTCATAGCTGACCCTCGGGACTCTGAACTGCCCTGGAGATTGCTCAAATGGTAGATTCAAATAGCCTGCAATGTGCAGCCTTTGAATTAGCAGGATTATGAGCTATGCTGGAAGAGCTCCCTCAAATCATACTTAGATTCAGAATCTTCTTTCAAGTGCCTTCTTCCCCCTCAATGCCCCCAATCAAGATTAGTAATTTTCATTAAATGGATAATTTATAAGGTGTGCAATTATTACACCCACTTTTTTTTTCCATTTAAGGACACTGAAGTACTTTTCCCACTTATAGATTTGGTTACATAATGGGCTCAGATTTCAATCAAGGAGTCTTGAGTCATAGTTGTGATAAAATTTGAGTATTTAAAAAGAATGTGATTTTACATCCCTAAAAGTGGTCTTAAAAGGTTACTATTTCTAATCTTCAGCACATATTATTAATAATACCAGTGGGTTCTCCAGGTATTTGTTGTGAAAACCACCCAACCAGTTGCAGAGCCCAAGTCTCAAAACCCATAAAGGTGCCTTCTTTCTCCCTCCCCTTACTTCATGTTCATTAAGAAATATAACTGCCCAGTTTGCAGACCCATGCCCCCAAGTCTTTGTTTACACTGAGGTAAATACAAGTAGCCTATACTATTTATTGTATACTAATATTCTCCCTATCTGCCTCCCCCCAAGTCTTGTTAATTCACATTGTATAATTATCTTCAGATGCATTTGACTACAGCTACAAGTTTTGAGAAACCCATGGGAGCTATCTAGCATAGGAGAAGCAAGATTAAAATGTTTAAACCCTAACCTTTTACCTCCTTCAGGTCTACGCCTTCCCCCTGCCAAGCTGCTGTTTACTGATTAGATGATCATTGTTATTTAAATACTTTTAGAAAAGCTCTCTCCCCCCAAAAAAACCCCAGGATGACTATAGTGTAAGGAAGACCTGAGCTGACCAGTTGTATTGGATGTCCTTTATTCCCATTATGAAGCAGGAACATTTGCTACTTTGTAATGGTCATGATATAACCTGCCATATAATGATTCCATTTTTACTGGATAAAGCATTCTCATGTAACTATTTTTTTTTTCTCTCACAAAACTTCAGCATTTTCATAATCACAGCAGTATGTCCATGATAGGGCACATTTTCCTAGGTTGCCAATACTCACTTTATTAAGTATAATCTAGCTCCACAATTGTAAATCTGGTATTTGAAGCTGGGTCACTGTCTCCTACAAATACTGATTAAACTGAAATCATTGAACAGTTGTGGTAATTAATACAATTGAAAAAGTAATATATACATAAAAGGTATATGTGTAATATTATTACCAAACAGAGTACATAGAACAAGAAATTTTATTATCTCCAAGGCTGGGGCATAACAAAGAACAAGCTTAACCAGAGGAGGAGAGGGGGAAATGTCAGATACCATCGACTTCTGGGCAGGCTTTAACACCTTTCAAAAGTAGATAGCATAATTGTTCAGTCTTTTTTAAATGTATAATTTTGCTTTTACATGACAATTTTCACCAACAGTTCTTATGACATTCAATTAAGTGTTTCTCCTGTGAAATTAAGTGAAAAACCCAAAACTACCCAGAAATTTTCCCTAGTGTGTTAGAAATCATTCTTTGACTTTCACAGAACAGAGTAATGTCTAACATTTTTCATTAAAGAGGTCTAAAGTTTTTACATTTTAAAATGGTCAGGATAGGGATTTCTTTGAGTTATAGACCAAAGCTGCTTTAAAAAGCTTCAAGAACACATGAATAAAGTAAGATTCGCTTGGAAACACATTTAAGGATACAATGTGTAGTATTTGTTTTCTGGATGTGCTCATCCTTTTGAGATACTTAAGAAAACGTTAATTCATGCCACGCTAATAATTTAATCTTTGATTAACGAATTTGAATGGATCACGACAGGAATTTCTCATTTTCTCAATAGGCTTTCAGTCCAATTAATTTAAAGACATCCTGTGTCCTAAGTTGGGCATTTGGGGTTTTTTCCCCCCTCACCATACAGATACATTAGTGTTTTATTGCCAGTTTGTCTTGGTCATGCCTTGTTCATGCAAAACCATCCCTTACAGTGAAGCGGATCTGAAAGGTGTTTTCTCCAATGCAAGGAAAAGAAACTGGATGAGTGACAAAGGCAAAGGCATAGGTGTTTCAGAACATTCTTGAAAACAGGTTTCAACAGTCCCAAGATGCTTTTTCTTTCTTAACAACCCTTCGTTATCACAACTGTGCAGTCACTGTCCTAAGTCTTTTCTAGCTTGCAAAACAAATACCATTTTCTTCTGCTTTTGAGGACCATGTCTTTGATTGGCACAGAACTATTTTGAACAACCCCCCCAAAAAATAACCGAATGCCAGATCTCTCCTCGAACAGGTTCCTCCTCTTCTAACAGCATTCTCCTACTCTCTGTCAATTATCTCATCACAGCCGAGTTCTTCGGTCAGACGATTGACCACCATAAGTGAAAAGAGCTCTTCGATAAAAGCTAACTGATCGAACGGGGTCTTCTCATAATGCATCTGAAAGCCGCCATCCAGCGCTGCTTCTCGGGCTCTGGATGTTCTCAGAAACATCTTGTTGGCTTCTTCCAGGGCCGCGGAGACTCTGTAGCCCGCCCCGCTGAGCTGCTCCTCTTCGGGATAGTCGTAGTCGTCTTCCCAGTCATCAAACTCCTCTCCCTCGTCCTCGCTCTCGAAGTCGGGGGCCGCGATCTGGCCTGGCTGCTCCCCGCGGCCGGGCCCGTGAGCGAGGCCCCCCGCCCCCGCCATGGGCAGCAGAGCCTCCTCCTCCTCCTCCATCGGGCCTTCCTCCTCGAGCTGTGGCGGGGCCCCACCGCGGGAGGGGCTCAGGGATGGCTCCCGGCCTCCGCCGCCTACCTCCATCTGCGGAAGGTCACTCTCGCCGGGCATCACATCCATCTGCAGGTCACTGCTCTCCTCATACAGCTCCGACAGCTCTGACATTTCCGACATGATGCACGCTTCGCAGACCCCACCGAGGCGTTCTCACCGAGAGCGTAGCTGCGCGGCCCTGAGCTTCTGCGCTTGCGCAAGTGATGTGCGCTTGCGTAATTCTGTACACATGCGTGCATCTCCGACCGCCGCCCCCTCCTCGCGCGCGCTGTTTCGGGTAGGAGTGGGGGCGTCGCTCAGTAAACCAACAAAGAGAAGGGCGCTCTGCAAGGCTAGTGGCAAGAAGCTGCACTGTAATCCCAGTAACACCCGGTTCAAATCCACTCGCTGCTCCACAGGAGAAATGTTGAGCAGTCACTTCCCGTGGGATTTATTGCCTCTGAAAAGCCGCTATAGTGTCAGCTATGAGTCAGTCCCGATTCCATGGCATACAACAGCGCTGGTCCCTGTATCAATCAGTTCAGCCTTCTTAGCTAGAACTGTATATTATGTCTCTTAATTAACAGGTTTGCTTCTTGTGATGCTATTGACTTGAAAATACTGGCCTTCGAAATGAGACTTAATCCCACGATGCGTTTTCTCCTTAATACTCCTCCCTCTCCTTCAATCTTCTGCGCTAGGACAATTATATCTGGTCTCAAAGTTTCGTCAAGATTTCTGTGTGACCAAGTAGAAAATGCCCAGCACCTTTGGTCAGTTGATTTCTAGTTCTACACCTGCAAGCCAGACAATAATCTTAATCGCAGGCCAATTTGTTGTTGTTGTTGTTGTTGTTGTTGTTGTTGTTATGTGCCGTGGACTCGCTCGAGACTCATAGCGACCCTATGTACAACAACCCTAAACCCTGCTCTGTCCTGTGCCAATCCCACCGTTTCTGACACATCCATCCCGATTACCCCAGTCACTGAATCAATCCACCCTCCTGCGTCGTCCCTCCACCCTCCCAAGCATGATGTACCTCTCCAAGGACCTGTCCCTCCTTACAAGGCCAATTTAAAAAAAAAAAAAAAATCTAACTTAAGCTTTCTGTTCTTAAGGTTCTTTAAAAGATTCTTAAATCCACAATTTATTTTAAAACTCCATCTCTCTTGGCCGTTTGTCAGAACCAACTCATAGGTGATCCTCAACCAGGTTTTCAAAGGCTTGCAGTTCAGCTGAGTTTAGAAGAGACGTTGGCACCAGGAATGGCATTGTTGATGTTAGATAGACTCTGTCTAATAGCAGAGAATACCAGAAAAATGTCCATTTGTGGTTTTTTGACTATGCAAAGGCTATTTGACTGTGTGGATCATAACAAACCATGGCTGAGAAAAAAATGGGAATTGCAGAACACTTAATTATGTTCATATGAAACCTGTACGTAGACCAAGAAGCTGTTATCCAAGAAGCTGTTGTCCAAAATGAGCAAGGGAACATGGTTTAAAATCAGGAAAGGTGTGTTTGAGAGTTATATTCTTTCTCCATGCCAATTTAATCTGTATGCTGAGCAAATCATTTGAGAAGCTGGACTCTATTAAGAAGAATGTGGTATCAAAATCAGAGGAAGATTCATCAATGAACCGTTATGCAGATGACACAACCTTGCTGAAAGTGAGGAGGACTTTAAACACTTGCAGGAGATCATCTACCACAGTCTTACAATTGCAGCTCTATATCAAGAGGGGAGCTCTGGTGGCCGAGGGCCAAGGAGCTGTGTTGCAATCCCAAAGGCATGTGGTTAGGAGGCCACCAGCTGCTCCTCTGGAGAAGGATGGGCAATTTTCTCCTGTGTCTTTGAAAACCCACCAGAGGGTCAGCTATGGGGTGATTCTAACTCTATGGTGCACAACAACAACAACAACAGTAATAACACCAAGAAGACAAAAATCCTTACTCCTGGACCAATAATCAACATCATGAAAGATGGAGAAAAGATTGAAATTGTCAATGATTTCATTTTACTGGCATCCACAATCAACACCCTTGGTACTGGCAGTCAGTCAATGAGGAAGGATAATGCATTGAGCAAGTATGCTGTCAGGGACCTCTTGAGGAGCAATGATGTCAGTTTAAAGACAAAGGTGTGCCTGATTCTGGCCACATTTTTTTTTCAGTCACTTACTATGTATTTGAGAGTTGGTCAATGAATAAAGAGAGAAGAATTGATGCCTTTGAGGTGCGGTGTTGGAGTACTGATTATCCCATGGGCTGCCAAAAAGAACAAACACATATTTTGGAGAAAATGCAGCCAGAATGGTCCTTGGAGACAAAGATGACAAAGCTTCATCTCATATACTTTGACCGTGCTACTAGGGGAGGCTACTCCCTAGAGAGGAACAGCATGCTTGGAAATGAAGAGGGTCATCGAAACAGAGGAAGACTCTTCACAAGATGGAATGTCACAGTGACTGTAGCAGTGGGCTCATGTGTGTCAGAGATGCTTAGGATGGTACAGGATCGGACAAGGTTCATGTCTGTTGTTCATAGGATCGCTATGAGTTGTACTCGGTTGGTGACATCTCGCAACAACAATAAATTGCAAGGGAAAAGATTAACGTTTGTCTTCAAAGGAAGAATCGAACCATTGCTTTTGAGTTGGCAGCGCAAATCCTTACTCATTAGATCATCACAACTAATAAACAATTATCTGGTTTTTCTCTGGTGACCTAGTGGGTAGGAAGTTGCACTGATAACCCAAAGGTGGCCCACCTCTGGTAATGGCTCCGAAAACCACTGGAGGGAGAGCTATGAGCCAGTTTCCAGTTGACAGCAATGAGCTTTTTGAGTTTGATGTTTTAGTTTTAATGAAGATAAAAGTTGTTGGTATCTTTTCCAGGAGGTAACTTTCTGCTAACATCAATGATGTGTATGTTCTTCCAATCCTCCTTTTTCTTTTTCTTTTTTTGCACTTGCATGTATGGTTATGTCCTGGTAGGTAATAAATAAATGCAATATGTATGCTGTTGTGGAACTCCTTACCCAGAAACTTGCTAACTATTTCCCATGGCTGGTGATGGAAACTTCAATGGTTAATAGAAACCACTCAATGATGTGTCCTGCCTCCCTCCCCAGATGTGCAATATTTAGAAAATCCCCTTATTATCAAAAAAACAAACAGCCAAACCAACCCCCTGCCATGGTGTCAAATTCTATCATCTCATTGCCCTATAGGACAGAGTAGAACTGCTCCAAAGAGTTTCTAAGACCATAATTTTTACAGAAGCAGACTACCGGTGAAATAGCTGGTGAGAGAAATACTGACCATTTTGTTTCCAGCTAAGCACTTAACCAAGCACTTGACCAGGGCAGTTCCAAATCTTCATTGCATTTCCAGGAAGTGTCCTAGTCAATTTACTAAACTGCTTAGCTTCTGGGATTCAGGGTGGTATGATTATCGGGTATGTATCATCCAATTGTCATGTTGTTGTTAGGTGCCATCAAGTCAAGTATGACCCACAGCAACCCTATGAACAACAGATCTGAACCCTGTTCTATCCTGTGCTATCCTTACAGTTTCTTACATACTTGACCCCATTGCTGCAGTCACTGTGTGAAACCACCTAATAGAGGGTCCTCTCTCCTTATCCATCCTTCCACCTTTCCAAGGTAGATAATCACACTATCTCTCTCCAAGGAATAGCTCCTTCTAGCAGCATACCCAAAGTATGTGAGTTGAAGCTTTATCATCTTTACCTCCAAACAGTACTCTGGCTCCATCTTCTCCAAGACATAGCTGTTTGTTCCTTTGGAAGTTCAGGAGATATTCAGTACTCTCCTCCAAAACCACACCTCAGAGGCATCAATTCTTCTTTTGTCATTCTTACTCATTGTCCAGTTCTCAGATACATGAGTAAATGAAAATACCATGGCCTGAACTATGTGTACCTTATTCCTCAAACTGATATCATTACTCCTCAGTAATTTGGAGATGCTCCCAATGCATAGTGACTCCTGATCTCCTGACTGCTGATTGATTGAGAATCCCAGTTCATCTTAGGTGTTAACAGTTTCAATCTTTTCTTCATCCATCATGATGTTGTCTTTTGGTCCAGTGGCAAGAATTTTTGTTTTCTTGATGTTGAGACGTTATCCACACTGAAGTGGCAACTGATACATGGTGACTCAGGTGTGTTGGAAGTAGGTCTGTGTTTAAGGGTTTTAATGGTTCTTTTTCAGAGGTAATCTCCAGGACTACTCAAAATTCTGGGGCAGACTCAAATCTTAAACTTTTTAGCTAGCAGCTAAAAGAGTTAAGCTCTTTTAGAGAGAGCTCTTATAGCCTAGCCAGTAGGGTATTGTGCTGATAAGTAGCCTAAAAGCTGTGCCTCACTGGCAGTTTGAATCCAACAGCAGCTTTTCAGGAGAAAGATGGGCAGATTCCTCCCATGAGATTTACAGAGTCTGAAAGCCAGCTGGACAGGTCAACTGTGAGTTAGTTCTGATTTGATGGCAATGAAAATTTGAGAAATTAAGCTGACTAGACTAAAATCCTGTTGAATACTGTGAAATTGCTTCCAAAGATTGTGTGCAAACATGCTCTAGCCAGTAGTGTTTGAGAATATTCACACCCTTACCACACATGATTTTGTTAAACTTGAACAATTTTACCAATGTGATGGTATCTTGATTTATTTTCTATGACCGATTTCTTGGCGAGGGAATATTCTTTCTGTGAATTAATGGATCTTATTTTGAGTTTATTTATTTTTCTTATTATAAAAATTTTATATGCCCCATATAAGACAAATATGTGCTAATTTCTTCTTCTCATATATTATTAATTAATTAAAATTAATTGAAAGATTATTTTTGGTATGTCTTTTTCTGTGTATTGCTTCAAATGGATTTTCCTCATCTTAAAGGTCACTAGTGTGTTATTTTAGCTATCTTCTAATAGTATTACAAATCTTTCACTGATCACTTATTTTTGTAAATAGCACAGGAACAAGATTTACTTACTTTTTTAAAATGTAGAGATAGCTAAGTCAGCTCTGATTGAATTACATTTATCATAGACATAGTCCATAAGTACTTGGTTCTGCTTTAGACTTTTTATTTTCATTTTCATAGACTTCTAATGT